ACCCAGCATCCGTCTCAGTTCTTGTGAAGTCGGGCTGAACTCTTGACACAATAAAAATAGTTCTTTAGCAAACTTTTCGCCCGCGTCCTGCGGATCCGGTAGATGTGCCATTGCGTCTCTCATATCAGACACTGTCCAAGCTCTAAAAACTAGCATTGGTCCATCTGATGTGCCATCGCGTCTCTCATATCAGACATTGTCCAAGCTCTAAAAACCAGCATTGGCCCATCCGGACCCGCAACTTCGACCATCGGAGCTGTTATGTTCGGCGCTGTGTCTTTCGGAGCTGTGACGCTGATCTTTCCACTTTTAATCGTCTTTGATCTTGTCACTCTCGGCCTGCTGGTGCTCGGTCTTTCTGAATCAGTTGTGCTGGGAACCATTTCAGACGCGTCCCCGAAAACTTCCTGTTCTTCGTCCTCCTCCCTTTCTTCTTCGCTGTCTGTGGCAGCGAGCGCTGAGGATTTTTCCGCCGCCTGCTGTACTGGCAGTATTGGTACTCGTGGGAATTCTTGTGCTTGTGACATGTGCACTGCTGCGTCTGCCGCTGCTCGCGCTCCTCTCGCTTCTGCTTCTGCTCGTGCTGCCGCTTGTATTGCTACCCGTGCTGCATTTTGTGCTGGTCTTTGGAACGGAGAGCAGTCGAGATCGTGGTCCAGTTTCAGGGCTGTCAGCTCTGCCACGGGATAGTGATGTTTATAAGCCGGCGGTGCTGACCCGATCTCGGGTGCATGTTGGAAAACACAAACACACTTTTTATTAGTAGCATTCTGCTCCGGTGGAGCTGTTTTCTCACACACATTCTCTTCCACCTTTTTCATTTCATTCCTACATGCCAATTCTTTCTGCATTTGCTTTCGTTCTCGTCTTTCAGCCTCTTCTAACCAACAACTTATAGTTTGTTCACATCCTTTACACACGTGACGAACACACATACAACAACCATTCTGTTTTTCATTGTTCTTTTCAACTGACTCTCTGACAACATTCAGTCTTACTTTACTCAATGTCCCTTCTTCGGGAAAA